AATCGTGCCAGTACTTAGTTGCGCAAAAGGATGCGATGCCCGTTCATTGCGCAGCTGTTGAGTAACGTAACGCTCTTGTTTTGCGTCTAGTGGAGCACAATTCTTTGGCGTTGCGGCATTCGCTTGCACGAGAGGTCGTGGGGGGCATGTGCTTATGCTTTGCGTACATTTGCTAAGCTCTTTGTCTTGTCGGGATATGCACAATTCATGGACATCATATATCTTCGAGCGCACTCGGCAGCTCACCGCGAAGCGGGCATATCACCCCAGTGGAAAATGCAAGGGCAACGGGAGGCAAGCCGTTGGTCAGCATGCGCATGGTGTTTCCTGCACGTCCTGAACATTGTTGACAGCCGATGCGTTGTCAACAAAGAGCGAGTCGGCATGAACCCTTCCTACATCTAGGTGCAGCGTTTCACAGTTAGCATGACGCTTGTGGTTGGTTCAGTTGCGGTGTCGAGCTCAGCGTCACCTGCTGACAGGAGCGTGCGCACTATTTGGCAAAATGATGAGGGATACGCACGTGTGGTTGTTGTGGGACTAAGGAGTTTGGGTTCGTTCATGTATTTGCCGCGCTGTGAAGATACTTCTCTTGGCGTTGCGACCCCGCTGTGCTTTGCCCAGCAAGTACGAGATTAGAAGGAAATTCACTTGCTCCGCGCGGGTGGGGTCTCGTTAACGTTGTAGGTTTTTCGATGGCAGGCATGGATGTGCATGCGCATGCATGGAACGTTTCGGAGATGCAGTGTGAACAGGTGTGTGAGCTCATGTTGGTTTAGCCGTGCTCTTGCTGGGTGTCTACAGGGGCGTGGTGTTGCAGCGCTGGAAGGCGTTCGTGCGACGGCGCGCGCCATCACAGGCGACCTCATTAAAGTCGGGACGCAGCATAGCCGCAGCGAGAAAGGCGGTAGGGGACAGCGCTTATAGCAACCCACTGAAAAATGCAAGGGCGAAGGGAGGCGAGCGGTCGGTCACCATGCGCATGATGCTTCCTGCACGTCCTGAACATTTTTGACAGCCGTTAGGTTGTCAACAAGGTGCGAGTCGGCATGAGCTTCCCTTCCATCAGCCTGCAGCTTTTCGCAGTTAGCATGACGCTTGTGGTTGGTTGAGTTGCGCTGGCCGAGCTCAGCTCAAACTGCCGATAGGCGTGTACGCACTATTTGGCAAGAGGATGAGGGATACGCATGTGTAGTTGTTGTGGGATTAGGACGTTTGCTTTCGTTCATGTATTTGCCCCGCGTTGGAGATACCTCTCCTGACGCTGCGATGCCGCGGTGCTTTGCCCAGCAAGTACGGGATTAGAAAGAAATTCATTTGCTTGGCGTGGGTATGGATTCGGTTATGGAGCGTTGATTTGCAGCGCTGGAAGGCGTTTGTGCGACGGCAGCCGCGATCACAAGTGACCTCACTGAGCTGGCGAAGCAGGATAGGCGCAGCCAGAAATGCGGTAGGAGACGGCTAAGACTACGTGACTACGTGTGTCCCACGATAAGTAGACTGGATTGCCAATCCGGGATCTCACGAGGTAGCCTGTTTACTGAAGACATTCATACCTGAGGAAA